TGGGAGATGCGGGAAGAGACTGGACAAAAATCGTGCACCTATGGATGAGGACAGTGGGTAGGGAGTGAGGGTGGAGGGTGGGGCAGGAACTGGGAGGAGGGGAGTTATGGGGGGGAAAAAAAGAGGAACAAATGTAATCTGAACAATAAAGATTTAATTTAAAAATATATATATATGATGATCCCACATTTTTAGCAATGCCCTTGTTTCTGGGTTTACATAACTTTGTATCAATTTGATTTCTCTGTTTTAGAGGATGGATCTAATGGAAACAGAATTGAGTTGAAAGGTGTAATAAGTGTGTACATCTCTTCTTAAGTTCAACATTGTGTTTTTAGTGGATTTTATTTTGTAAAGAATAAAAACCAATGAAGGCGACACTGGGAAGTGACACCATGAGTACTTCAATAGTTTAACTCTGGCCAAAGTGCAAAGTTAGAGATGAGAGAGTATTATAATAAAAGTTAGAGACTGGAAAGCTGTTATAATAGTACTAGAGGCCCGGTGCACAAAAATTTGTGCCCTCGGGGGGCGGGGGAGAGGGGGTCCCCCAGCCCGGCCTGTGAGTGAGGGTGGAGGGTGGGGCAGGAACTGGGAGGAGGGGAGTTATGGGGGGGAAAAAAAGAGGAACAAATGTAATCTGAACAATAAAGATTTAATTTAAAAATATATATATATGATGATCCCACATTTTTAGCAATGCCCTTGTTTCTGGGTTTACATAACTTTGTATCAATTTGATTTCTCTGTTTTAGAGGATGGATCTAAATGGAAACAGAATTGAGTTGAAAGGTGTAATAAGTGTGTACATCTCTTCTTAAGTTCAACATTGTGTTTTTAGTGGATTTTATTTTGTAAAGAATAAAAACCAATGAAGGCGACACTGGGAAGTGACACCATGAGTACTTCAATAGTTTAACTCTGGCCAAAGTGCAAAGTTAGAGATGAGAGAGTATTATAATAAAAGTTAGAGACTGGAAAGCTGTTATAATAGTATAGGTCAGGAGAAAGCTTTATAAAGCCCAGATTTCTGGATCCTGTTCCTAGAGATTCTGAGTCAGTAGGTTTAGAGCAATTTCTCATATCCTTAGTAAAGAGCTAAACATGGCTGGCTGGTAGTGAGTTGGAGCATCAAAGGGAAGATACCCTTGATGCTGACACCTTTAAATGAGTATCAGGAACCCTTTAAAGTTACAAGCTGATTCTGCATTTTTACCACAAATGAACAGACTCACCTGGATCAGGGTCATATTTTAGGTCCAATGGGCGTACAACAGGGTGGTATTCCTTCTAAACATAATATAAATTAAAACAGATTTAATTTCACCACTTAATGCCTCATATAAACATTTTCTTCAGCTAATGTAAGCAAATATACTATTAGTTGTACCATTCTTTTGCCCCCCAAAAAACCTCCCAAAATGAAATCCTGCAATCTGTAGGAAAGGGAGAGGAAAAGAAAAGATCAATCTAAGTCTGAACTATACCTTTTATAGTATTGCCACCTACTGCATACACTAAGAAATTACACCATAAAAAATTTAAGACAAGCAATCAAGCAAATTAAAGGCACAGAGACTAAATTTTTTTTTTTTTTTACGTAAGAGACTAAATTTTTTGTTTCAAGTACTAGGTAGTCTCCAAATTATGAGTGAACTGTTTTTCAAAAAGTTCACTTTAAGACAAGGGTTTGGAACTCAGAACTCATATTCCCACAGAAACTGTTTTTAAAAGTGGCTGCCACTGCCATGTCAGCACATTAAAGCCTATATATCCTGTGATACACTAGGACTACAGTAGCAGAACTACAGGAACAGGATCCACAATTCAGGCAAAAAAAAAAGAGGAAAATCCTCCTTACTCTTGCCCAAAGCTAGAAAGAGCCAAAAAGGTTTTTTAAAAAGTTGTCTTGGGAGCTGGGGACTGGGGTGGTGGTAGAGGGATTGAGCAAGAGAAAAAAGAAGCTGTCTTAGAATAGAAGTAATCCTGTTATTTGCAGATTTTTAATATTTCCTACAACTTTTGTGATATGCTATGTTAGTACAGTTTTGGTAATATTATTATATTTAAAAATTTTTTATTGAAATATTAATGTTTATTGCATGTAACATTATTATACTTAAAATCGTTTTTCTTGAAAACAAACAAAATAATAAATAAAAAATAAATTTAAAAAAAGAAGCTGTCTTGCCCTAGCCGGTTTGGCTCAGTGGATAGAGCATCAGCCTGCAGACTGAAGGGTCCCAGGTTCAATTCCGGTCAAGGGCACATGCCCGGGTTGCAGGCTCGATCCCCAGTGGGAGTGTGCAGGAGGCAGCCGATCAATGATTCTCTCTCATCATTGATGTGTGTCTCTCTCTCTCCCTTCCTCTCTGAAATCAATAAAAATATATGTTTAAGAAAAGTGGAGTCTATGTCCCCTCTTTAAAAATTAAAAAATAAAACAAATAAAAATTAAAAAAGAAACTGTCTTTAGTATCTTCACCCCATCCGTTTTGCATCACTTTTAAACTTCTACAGCAGTACCTTGATTAGGCCTGCCAACTTTCTTTCTTTTATGCAGTACTGATTACTAGGTTATTTTCAGGGAAGGAGGGGTAGTTAATAGGAAAGGAGACACATTTTGAATGTCTTTCCTAAGAAAACTTTAAAAAGGGGGTGGGGAATGAAGTAGAGTATTTCTTTGAAGAATAAGTGCTACAGAAGAAAAAAGGAAAAATTCTGCTTATAAATATTTTTTCTCATAGAATGACTAAAATATTTTAGATAAAGTACCTGCCTTGTCTAAAACAATTCCTGAAAGGAACGTAATCAAAAGATTTTTATGTAAAGTATGCTCATTTTAAAAACTAAGGGAAAAGAGTATATCACAATGTAAAACAACATGTATTTCTAGCTGTAGAGGCCAAAGCCACTTCCCCACAAACCTACTTTTGACCCATCATGACTGGGAGCTAAACAAATTACACACAATTCATAAAGCAAATTTCAGTATTATGAAAAGGTACTCAGTTTTCACCATGAATTTAACTAAAGGGTCTTCCAAAACATGTACTCATCTATACTTATAATAGGGTAATATGCAAATTGGTCAGGCCGCTGTCACATAACGACCAATCAGCAGGAGGGCGGGGCAGCAAGCTACCTGCAGCAGAGAGCTACAGGAGGGTGGAGCAGCGAGCTACTCAAGCACAGATTCGTGTTCAGGGCCACTGGTATACAAATAATATGCTAAACACAAATGACAAATAGAAAGAAAAGCCTTAAAAAATAAATTTCTCTTTTTTTTTTCCTTCCTGGTATCAGAATTATAAAGTCATTGTCGATCTTCCATCTTCAAAGTCTATGTTAGTATGTTAGAACAGGAAAAAGTCTTCAAGAGACAAAAACAGTAGTAATTGAAGGAAAAATAAAAATGTCATTTATCTCTACATGAATTCTATACTTTAATTTTTTATTGTGGTAAGACAGACACAACATAAACTTTACTATTTTAAAGATAAATCATCTTACCAGAATTTCTTGTTTTGCTTTTATAATTTTTATGACACATTCAAGGATCTTTCTGGGATACTGCTTACGTTTCGTGGCTAAGTCTACTATGATTTCATCAAAGTGATCTTCAAGTTCTTTGATATCAGAATCTATTTAAAGAAAAAAACATATCAAAAAAATTTCTTAAAACACTGTTTATATTCTACATCAGGGGTCCTCAAACTTTTTAAACAGGGGGCCAGTTCACTGTCCCTCAGACTGTTGGAGGGCAGGACTATAGTTTAAAAAAAAACTATGAACAAATTCCTATGCACACTGCACATATCTTATTTTGAAGTAAAAAAACAAAACGGGAACAAATACAGTATTTGTATTTGCATGTGGCCCGCGGGCCGTAGTTTGAGGACCCCTGTTCTACATAGACATGTAATGTAATTAAACTAAATTTAGAAAACACAAAGTAACTAAGGAAAACAAATATGGCAAGTTAGTGGATGCCCTCACTTTGGTGATTGATTCATTCATATATTGAACAATTGATTAATCAGAGAAACCTATTTTTTTTTAAATACTAAATACTAACTTCTATTATAATATTCTCACAGTTATAGGGGGAAAGAGGCCCCGGCCAGTTAGCTCAGTTGGTTAGAGCATCATCCCAATATGCCAAGGTTGCAGTTCGATCTCAGGTCAAACATACAAGAAGAAGCAACCAATGGCCCTGGCTGGTTTGGCTCAGTGGATAGAGCGTCAGCCTGTGGACTGAAGGGTCCCAAGTTCAAATCCCATCAAGGGCACATGCCTGAGTTGTGGGCTCAATCCCCAGTAGGGGGCATGCAGGAGGCAGCCGATCAATGATTCTCTCATCATTGATATTTCTCTCTCTCTTTCCCTCTCCCATCCTGTCTAAAATCAATAAAAATATTTTCTTTTTTAAAAAAAGCAACCAGCAAATGCATAAATGCGTGGAGAAAAAAAATCAATGTTTCTCTCTCCCTTCCTTTCTCTCTAAAATCAATAAATTTTTTTAAAGTTTTATTAAATACTAAAGGTCATCAGCTTAACTGGTCTTATAGCTTGTGTTCTGCTATGTCAAAGCTTCATTAGTGAGAAGAACCATACATATTTTTTGGAACCCTTTTTAGACACTTCTGATATATATCAGCATATATTTACATATTGGGTAGAGATAACTGAGGTGCAGTATGGCCTTTCATTTATGTAACAAATATTAAGTCCAACTAAATTACTTATTTTGAAGATTATTAAAAGAGATGTGGTCATTTCTTACTTTGAAAAGTCATTTAAATAAGCAGCCTCACCTAAATTTTAATTTATCCATTTGAAAAGTTTAATCACTAACCTGAAAGGAAGAATGTACTATTTCACAATCAGCTAAAAAATAAAAAATAAAGTCTCCCAGCTAAATCTTCTACGTAGGGAAGAAAATGGTTTCATAGCGCCACCTAATGATAAAGCTATAAAAGTGAAATGTATAAACAATTTGAGCAAGGAAGAGTCATTAATTCAACAAATATTTAGTGGGTGCCTACTGTGTGTCAAACTAAGTGTTAAAAACATAGTAATGAGAAAAAAATATAGTCCCTGCTTTCAAGGAACTTATATTTTAATTTTTAAATGTGCCTGGTCAATCGTCCTAAAATCAAGTCCATTCAGGGTAGTTAAGGGGCAGAAAAGAAGTTGCTTTCACTTATATGTATATTCCTATGTTCTCTATATTCATTCATTTGCTCATTCGTTTGTCCACTCATTTATACAATGATCTCAGGGAATAAAATAGACAAAAACCTCTGCCCTTGTGAAGCTTACTTATTGCTTCTACGTATCAAGATCAGATACAAACCCTATTAATTCTATCTGCTGAACATCTCTTGCACCTTTTTCTTTCTCTCCTTTCCCACTGTCATAGGGCAGATCTTCATGGTATTATGCTGTACTACTGCAATAACCTCCCTAAGGTTCGCCTGCCTTGAATTTTTCCCTTCTCCAATTCATCCGCACACAGAGCCAGCAGTTAGCTTTCGTGTAAGTTCTACTTTAAAAGCCTTCACCAGCCGAAACCGGTTTGGCTCAGTGGATAGAGCATCGGCCTGCGGACTGAAAGGTCCCAGGTTCGATTCCGGTCAAGGGCATGTACCTGGGTTGCGAGCACATCCCCGGTGGGAGATGTGCAGGAGGCAGCTGATCGATGTTTCTCTCTCATCGATGTTTCTAACTCTCTATCTCTCTCCTTTCCTCTCTGTAGAAAATCAATAAAATA